AGAATAATAATAATTTTTAAACTTCAACTTCTTATATTTATCAAATAATTTAATTTAATTCAATAGTAATTAAAAAATTCAACATTTAATATTCAATTTTTAATTTTATCAAATACCATCTAAACAGAGCAATGCTATGTGTCATCAATATTGCTCTGGTGATTCATGCCATCTCATGGCCTGCCAAACTTTCAAGATTTGAAGGCAGGCACCGGAAGTTACATAGTAAACACATGGATGGATCTTGCCGAGAGTATCCAGCCCCCAGAGTGGACTAGACTGAAACAGACCTGTCAGACTAAGCTCACTTGAACCCCCTTGGAACTACTTACAAGACCCGAGGGACATTCTGAACCCGAATAATGGTGATCTAACATTCGATCCCATTGACATGTCGGACAGTAAGACGAGGGATCCAGGAACGGAGAGTTTTCTCCTATTTTTTCCTCGTTTTTTGGTCTTAAGAATGCTGATTTTAAGATTGAGTAATTGCCCTTCTCCGACCCTTATTGCCCAACTTGAGATCGGACAACTAATATCTTCTACTTATTGAATTGGGTTCTATAGTTAGATATTAAGAAATAATTAGTTGTGCCATCACATATACGTTGGATCGTCATTGAATCCAACACATGCAAGTTAAAAGTACGACCCTTGATAAAGTGAACCAGTCAAGAGGTGAGTTAATTAATGTTTGGCGTTCACCATATAATTGGTCGCGCATGTCATTAAATGTCCAACAGAAGTCATTGCATTTCTAATAATTGCTCAATTAGAGTTAAATGATGATTTTAAGATACGAGACAAATATATAATATGCTTTGTTTTAAATCTCTTGATGAAAAGTAATTTCTTATTTATTTTTGATTTGTATTTCATTTGACTAAATTATTGTAATTTTGAAATTCTAATGAATTTATACGAGTACATCTCTATTTTTAATAAGTTGATCATGAATTACATGAATTGAAAACTAAATCATGGTAGCCAATAGTACAATGTCCAGTCATTCCAAGAGACTAGTGGAATTAAATTGAGGTGGACGATTGATCACGTGTCAAGTCTGTGTCAAAGTCTAGTGTATCACATGTGATATGATTTAATTTGACATCTTATATCATTTGCGTTGAGTTTTTTTGGTCATTATATGATTTTTTTATATGGGAGTGCACTGATAAAATTTTTACCCGTGATCTAATGGTCTAACGACAGACTAATAGTCGGGATGTTTGAACCAATTTTTTTGCATTTTAATTTCTCTATTCTTCTGTTCGAGAATAAATTCTCAAAACCTGGTTCAAGTCGTTTAGGTTTATGTCGTCATTGGGCTATCCTTGAAGTTAAATAACCCTTGATGAACATGAACAAAGCCCTAATCAAAACAAAAAAAAGCATAGATGAAGACAATTAGGGACCTGATTCTTCAATTCCATTCGATATCATCTTCTTCATGCTCAAAACCTTACCTGCTAATCATAGATATTGAGTTAACCCGAGAAATGTCAGTAAGAGTTGAAATCACGAGGTCCAAAAAGTCACTCTAACTCAAATAGTTCTTCACAACAAGAAATGATTGGAGATCTCCATTGAACCCCCAACTTCCTCTTTGCTCATGTTCCTGTACTAACCATCTTCATCCCTTCTTGAAGGTTCTATGCAAAATTGGGAAAAGAAAATCGCAAATGTGAGCATACGTAAAATTATAGTTAGACTAAGGGACTGTTTGATAACATTACTTAATACATAAAATTGAATACTTTAAACACTTAATAAATTAAACCTGTTTGATAATGTAAAACTCATATCACTTAATATTTTAAACATTTCTTACAAATAGGTTAAAATTTTGAAGTAACAAAACCACATACTTATTACTTAATACTGAAAATGTTAGTCAGTAAAGATTTTATAAATTTTTCATAATCGACAAATATAATCTCAATACATTTTATACTCTTAACGCTATCATCGCCGCCACCATTGTAATGATGATAATAAAAATAAGGTAGTTACGACTAAAAAGAAGGAAAAAATTAAAATAATAATAATTTTCAGACTTCAATTTTTTATATTTTTCAAATAGTTTGATTCAATTCAATATTTAAATTTCAGTGGATACTAAATAGTCTATGAATTAAAAAATTTAGGATCTGTTTGGTAACGGTTTGGTTTTCAATTTTTTAGAAAACTTGAAACTTAAATTCATTTGATAACTATTTTAGGTTTTTTTTAACCGAAACCGTTTTTAAAGTTGAATCAAATTTTGGAAACAAAAACAAGTCGTTTCCAAAACAAACAAAAACGAAAATGGACAGAAGACATTTAATGAGATCCTATCGTCAAGTCTTGTTAACAACAAACTAAGCCCTCAACCAACAAAACTATTTAAACCGCCAAACTCTATCTCATCTCGTCTCATCATCTCTCTCATCTCATTGTCTCTCTCAGTCCCTTCGTTCACAGCATCGTCCAGCGGCTTCGTTCACAGCAGCAGCATCGTCCAGCGGCTTTGTTCACAGCAGCAACTTCGTCCGACAGAGGAGTTCCAGCAGCAGCTTCGTCCACCAAAGTCCTCAGATCTAGGGTTTTCAGAAATATTTTCCCTGTTTTTTGGATATCTCTCGATTTCTCTCAGTAGCTAAATTCCTTAGATCTAGGTTGTTTCTTTGTGCTAGATTTATGTATTAGATCTGTAGGTTGTTTTTTTTTTGTGGTAGATCTTGTTTTTTTTTTAAATTTTATTAGATCTGGTTTCATCGATTTTTTGAGCTTAAATAGAAGTTACAGGTTTTCGACTTCTTTGGTTAGATCTAGTTCACCATTATTCTTAAACTCTATTCCTTTTGGATTTTGAGCACTGCAAGCTTTTGATAACTTGGCTTCCAAATGGATGATTTCTTCCTCTTTTACATTTAATTTACATCTCCATTCTGCCTCACAATCCAGTAGAGCTTTGCTATTGAGATCCTGCTGGAATTCAGAATTTTGGAATAGATGCCTCGCATGAATTTTTAAACATTTGAGACAACCAAACAGGTTTTCTATTTTCATTTTTTATAAAAAAAAAATTGAAAACCGTTTCAGATTTTATTTTTTCAAAAAACTGGAAGCCAAAAACTTTTCCAAACGCGACCTTAGCATTTAATTTTCAATTTGCAATTTTGAGTATTCAACTTTTAATTTTATCTAAATTGAGCAATGCTATGTGTCATCAATATTGCTCTGGTGATTCATGTCATCTCATGGCCTGTCAAACTTTCAAGATTTGAAGCAAGGCACTGCTAGTTACATACTAAACACATAGATGAGTCCCACCCCACCAAGAGAATTCAAGCCCCTGAGCCGACTAGACCGAGGCAGACCTATCAGACAAAGCCCACTCGAACTCCCCTGGAACTACTTACAAGAGCCCCAGGGACATTTTGTGCCCGAACAGTAATGGTAATCCAACACGTGAATCCATTGACATGTCCGGTAGTAGGAAATGATTAGTTATGTTATCACATTCATGTTGAGACTCTCATTAAATCCCGTAAATGCCGATTAAAAGCATGGCCCTTTCTGAAGTAGACCGATCGAGAGATGTGTTAATTAATACTCGGTGTTCACCATTTAAATGTTCACGACTCACGGGTCAGTAAATGTCTGGCAAAGGTCATTGAATGTCTAGGCATTGCTTTATTAGAGTCAATTTATGATTGTAAGCTATGAGATAATATACAATATGTATGTTATGTACACATTTTTAATATATTTTTATGTAATATTTGAAGTAGTTATTAGGGTATTATTTTAGTTAGTGAGTGAGTTAGTGGTAGAGTATTTTGTGGCTAGTTTTTTTTGGTGGTTATTAAAATAGTGGAATCATTGGTCAAATTAGTTATTAAGTTAATTTTATTATCTTGTATTTAAAGATTTTTCTATCAATGAAATAAATATGTTGAATATTGTATTGAATTTTCTTATTGAAGTTTGGGAGATAGGTTCTTCTCGAATTGAGCAATTGGAGGTTTTCGTTCCCCCTAAAAGCGGGTTTCTTTATCGAGTCTATTTTTTGTTTGTTTTATAAATCACCCAAAATCGTGCACGTAACAGTTTTGTTTTAAATCTCTTTATGAAGAGTGATTTCTTGTTTATGTTTTGATTTGTACATCGCTAATTTTTAATAATTTGATTATGAATTATGTGAATTGAAAACTAAATTATTATAGCAAATAGTATGATGCCTAGTCATTCCAAGAGACTCGCGAAATTAAATAAAAGTGAGATGTTTGTTCAAGTGTCCAAGTCTATGTCAAAGTCTTGTATCACATGTAATATGATTTAATTCGACATCTTACATCATTTGTGTTGAATTTTTTGAGTTCAATACATGAATTTTTAACAGAGAAAAAAGATTTGAAGTTTAAACCCGCAATCTAGTAGTCCAACGACGACGGTTGGAGAGTCTTTTAAGTCACCGCTCATCTTCTTTGTGTTGAGTTATTTGTTAAATTGATGGAGCGAGTGGGTCCATTACAATGATTTCATATTTAAGGAGTAATCATTTATATGTTCTCCGGTTTGGCAATGTCTAATGTGGCCTGATAATGCATTAAAATAACAAAGGATAATATTATTTAGCTATTTAATATATTATAACTATTAAATTAATTATAAATTTTAATATAAAGAGAGACTAATTTTTTATTCAATAATTATAATGAATTAAGTGTGCAAAATTATTTTTTAAATGCTATACAAACCCTAAATACATATTTTTTTCCCGATATTATAGTTGGAGTGTTCGAATCAACTTTTTCGAACTTTGATTTCTATACTCTTCTGTTTGATTAATCAAAAATAGACCATACACGTTAAGACTAAAAAATTAACGAGAATAAACTCTCGTAGTCTGGCCAAGTGGTCTGGGTTTATGTAGTCATTGGGCTGGCTTTGAAGATAAAAAATACCCTTTGACGAAGACGAACAAAGCCGTAATCAGAACGAAAGAAGCAAAAATGAAGAAAATTCGGGTCTCTGATTCTTCAATTCCATTCGATATCGTCTTCTCCATGCTCAAAATCTTACCAGCCATATCTCTCATGCGATTCAAGTGCGTCTGCAAATCATGGCGAGAATTAATCACCGACCCTCTCTTCGTCGAGGCTCACCAAACTCATTCTCAGACTCGACCAGAAGCTACCCACCTTCTGATTCACTGCACCAATTCAATGTTGAATCAGTACATCTTCGCTGCAAATCACCATGGAAAGGTTTCTTCTGAATTTCCAACCCTTCAATTTCGTGTTCCTGGTCCTTGTACAGATATTGTCAACGGGTTAATCTGTTTCTACAGCTACGAGCACAATCGGGTCGCTGTTCTTAATCTCACCACTTGCGAAACAGTCACACTACCTTTGATCAAATCACAAAGTCAAAACCCTAATTGTTATAGGCCCTCGTATAATTTAGGGTTTGATCCTGTCACGAGGAAATTCAAAGTTCTAAGTTTCTGGACTGTTCGTATCGGTGATTCGAAGAAGGTGGAGTCTGAAATTCTCACTCTTGGGACTAATTCTTGGAGGAAGATCGATGGTCCAGTTCATAAACTTCGTGGGAAAACTGTTTGTGTTAATGGAGTTGTGTATTGGATGAACATTTTGCCGATGAATTGTAAAAAAGCTATACAATCTTTCAATGTTCGAGAAGAGAAATTTCTTATGGTTTTTATTCCAGATGGTGCCTCTGAGTATAGGCAGCTAATACAAATTGAAGGAAAACTGGCTCTGGTGTGTTATGAAAGTTACTATCCTATTAGGGTAGACCTGTGGATATTGGAGAATGGTGATCAGGGTTGGGAGAAGAAAAGTATAGACCTTCCTGTTGATCTGTGGGCAAATGGGTTACGTAGTGTCATTGGCACAACCAATGCTGGTGAGATTATACTAAGAGATCAGGAGAACTATTCAGATGCATTGAAGTTAACTTGTTATGACATGAGGACAGGGAAATTTAGAACAATTGAAATCTGCAGTCCAGTGGAGCTGGGGAAATCTGGGGAGTATCTTTCCATCACCAGTCATGTGGAGAACATTTGGCCGTTAAAGACACCGGAAAATTCAAAGAAGAAACGGAAAAGGGGAAGAGCTGTGTAATTCCAATTGGGTTCAAAAAAATTTTCTTCATATTATGAAGTGGTTAGCAGTTGGTTTATCTATGTTTTTACTCTAGAGCAAAGGCCAGAAACGATGTTGTTTCATTGTGATCTGAATGTTTTGGGATTGAGCTATCCCACATGGAGGTCAGGTTGCGTACATTGCCCACCTAAAGTGGCAGGGATGTAGTGCACTTTGCCATGCATTTATATAAGTAAAAACCAGAAACAACTTACCTAGGTACTTGATTTGTGGTTTCTTTCTTCCAGTTCTGCCTTTTTGTTGGGCACTAATATTTCATGCTTTATGTTCTAAGTTCTAACCCTCAATAATTATGTAATATATATCAGGCTGGCAATGTTCAATTGCCTCTATTTTCTCTTCGCCTCTTTTTTGCTTCCATCTAGAAGGTTATATATACAGTTAATAGTTTTTTTTTTTTCTGCTAATTCTTATATGCATATAATTATGCTGTTCATTTCATTATTGGATGAATGATTTGTTGGACTGAGAGAGATGCTTACAATGTAAATCATCTTGCTAGATAAATGATGCCTGTTAGTGTCTTTGGACTAATTTCTATCTCAATTTCTGTTTTTGTGACTAATGATTGAGAATTTATCAAAGTGTCCAGCTCATTAGGAACATGTGGACACAGATGTAACACGGGGGGAAATTCATTTTGCATCAATAGCATTGAACTTTTTTATCCGGGGAATTTTTCGTTTTTAATCATGAAGATTTAAAATTAGAGACAAGGTTAGAGCGACCATTTAGAAATGCAGTGGTCGTCAGAGTTCATTTTTCATGGAGAGAAGTTGTGTATAAGGTTTTATGGTCAAATTCTTCATCTGTTAGAAGGGTTTTGTGGGGGCAATTGACCTTCACTGAGGTGGTTATTTTCAAATGGTCGAAATTTTGAACTGGTGGTGGATCATATGAATGCCCATCTCATCACTAATTGAAACAATGACAACAGAAACTTTCACAAGTGTGCTTTTGTTCCTGGAGGGTAGATTTAAGTTGGTTGTATAAAATGAGAAGGGTCTGAACCCAAACCAAAAAGAGAACAAAACAGAGAGCTCTGTTGTTTGTGGTTGCTTCGTGCATAGAGTACACAGAGGGGACGGTACACATTTCCTTTTAAAAAAGTTTTCCTACAGCTGGGGAACCCATTTGTTGTCCTAGATTTTGATGTCCTTTCCCTCCATCACTTTGTCAAATAAGACCATTCTCCAGCAAATCTCCACCCCATAACAAACTACTCCATACTTATGAAGGTTTAGCCCCTCTTTTTTGCATCTATAAAGCCCCTTTTTTTGCCTTTGATGGTGTGTACAATGTGATTGAGCAGAATATATGAACAACAATTGATCTGAGCTACGAGACTCTTGGGAATAGTGTAGTAATTCAGGGGTAAGGGGTGAATTGCACAAAAGAGGTATAGTAGTTCACCAGTTCGGGGGCTCGACTAATTCACTCTTTAATGGAGTCTCTCGCTCCTAAGAATTATATTGAAGATTATGAGAGGATTACACAGCCTTCTTGGTATCTTTTGTTGCCTGTCTCAAAGTGAAGACTTTGTACAATATTTATAGCATAGTTCCTAGTTTCATGGGGTTTGGGGCGAGATCTCCACCTCTCATTTGTAACGTTTTGTTTGATTTTAGGCTATGGTTTAGGCGGTTGAGATTCTAGCGTCTAGACTAGTGTTTACTGCCAATGAAGGGGCGTTTAGTGGTTGCCAACTGTTTTCTACTCATGTTCGTTCAAGCGCAGGTCGAGGGAGCTCGAGGTCTGAACCTTCGAGCTTAAACTTCCTTGGCTGGGCTCCCTTCTCGACCTCGATACCCAAGCTCAAACTTGAGAATTTTTCTAAGCATCATCAGCCTTCAACTCTAATGAGAAAAGTCTATTTTACGAATCAGTTACAACTTTTCAAACATGTAATTATCTTTTCCCAGCATCACTCATCCCAATCAGGGCCTTTTCCAAAGGAAAATGACAATCCTTCAAACTGCATCGTTTTTCAATTGTTTTAATTTTTCATAACATGTTTGTTTTCAAGGATCAATGAACACAGTCCTAAAAAGCATAAAATTTTGGGTTTTTATTGATAATGTCATGCGGTGTACATCACTTATAAAATATTAGTTATTTCACATGTCTAAAAGTACAAAATAATAAAAAAATTGTCAACAATAAGCATATTTGTATTCACACCTAAAATCAAATTACAAAAATAGAAGAGAGAGAAATGAATTTAAACATTGATTGTAATAGGGGTGAGTGATGGTAGTGGTGGCGGGCGACAGTGGTGGTAATGGGAGATGGTGATAGTTGTGATAGGTGACGACAACCGATAGTGATGATGGCAGTCGTGAGTGACAATGATAATGGTAGTGGTGGGACAGTGAGGGTGGGGGGTGGTAGGAGTGATGATGAGACAGTGACAGTGGTGATAAGGTGGCGACAGCGGTGATGGTGGTAAGGTGGTGGTAGTGGGGATGGTGGTGATGATGGGGGCAGTGGTGGGGTGGTGACAGTTGTGATGGCGATTGTTGTGGAAGAGGTGATGGTCGAGTGGCAACAGTGGTGGTAGCGGTTGGGCGGTGGGGGTGGTGGTAGTGTGGGGAGGAGGGTGGTGGTATTGGCGATGATGATGGTGGTGGTGGGGTAGTGACAGTGGTGGTAGTGGTGATGGTGGCTGTGGGATGGTGACAGTGGTGATGGTTGTTGTGACAGAGGTGGTGGTATGGTGGAGGCGACATCGATAGTGGTGGGGCGGTTGGGGGTGGGGTTAGGGGTGGTGGTGGGGCAGTTCCAAATACTACTTTTTTTTAAAGTATTTATAAAAAGTTATAAGTTTTATAAGCACTTTTAAAAAGTTATTCCAAACATACTTTTTTGGTCTATTTTTCCTATTAAATTTGATGTATTAATATTAATCGTCAAATTAATTTTAAAATAAAATTTAAAGAGTTCTCAACTGTGAAAAATAAAAATTATTTTATTATTTTTTTTTAAATTTAAATTGTATTATATTTTATTATATAAATTATTAAATTTTAATAAATGGTTGTCGTTTTTAAGAAATCATTAGGAAAGGCAATAATTTTGAAATTTAAAAACTTTTTTTTCCCAACCTGTCATAAACCTTCCTAACAGGTACTTGTCTTTTCACAACAATCACTAATCCAATCACCACTTTTTCCTAAAGTCACAACAATATCGTCTTTCACCAACTCCTCAGAGCATCTTTGTTTTCAAGGTTCAATGATCATAATCCTAGAAAGATCCTCAATTATCCAATCATATAAAAACAAATTCTAAAAAATTTTAGTTTATGCAAACCCCTATCACTCCCAAATTGAGTTATTTATCAATTTAAGGCATTTTGGAAATAAATTTATCAAAAATACAACACTTTTAAATTTATTTACTGAATTATTACACTTTTTTAAATTGGAATCAACAATTTGGCTTTGTTAAAAACCGTAGTTAACAACCTTGCTTTTTAAATAGGGGTGTTCGAAGTTTTGATTAATCGCAATTTTTTACTTTACCTGACCGTATCTAACTCTATTGAATGGTTAGCCGAAAAAATTAGGTAAGAATGCGGAAGAGTTTTTAGTCTTCCGATTAAATTGGGTAGAAATGCGGAATAATAATTAATTTTCGTATTCTTACTCTACCATACTAGCATATATATATATATAAACTAAAAATCCTAATTCTCTAAGTATATGGTTTAAACTTAAAATAATTGTTATTGTATTTGTGTAACAATAATAATTGATTGATATTTATACTTTTTTGTGTTTTATTATAATTGTTATTGTAATTGTTTTAGATTTTAGTATTTTTGGTTTATTATCTTGTTAAATTAGTGCATATTATTTATTGAATTGTTAAAATAATCCAAAAATTAATAACTACAAAAATGTTCACCCGATTTCTACCCAATTAATTTGGTCAGAAGTCAAGTAAAAATACCATACTTGATCGAGTAGGATAGGCGAAAAAAAAAATTCTTCCGCAAAATATCAAGTAAAAAGACGGAAGACTATATTTTCTACCCATAGAGTAGGGTGAACACCTTTACTTTTAAATAAAAAACATGGTCAATACTACAACATTATTACGAGGTTAATACTTATAAAGTGTGTTTACTAACCATGCTTTTAGGCATGTTGCAATAGTTGACTATGGGCTAGGGGTGCAACTTGGGCGAGTTGGGTAGGTTAGACAGTCAACTCTAATCTAACTCTAGGTATATAATCTTCAACCCTAACCGTACCTCGGGTTGAAAAACTCAACCTAAGCACTGCCCGAATTTAATTCAGGCGGGCTTGAATTTAATTCGGGTTAATGATTTCGGGTTGATTTCAGGTTATTTTATGTGTTGACTTCGGGTAGAGCCCAAAATAGATTTGTTATTTTAAACATAATACATATATTACATAATATTTACCTAAATTAACAACCAATAACTTCAACCAAATTTTTTACAGTGTTAATGATAAAACAAAAATGAAAATGAACGAGAGAGACAAAGAACGATAGAACAAAAATAAAAAATCAGTGTTAATGCTTTATATATATATTTAATTTATCGGGTTCGGGTTGAACCCTTAAACCTAAGACTTTAACCCGAGCCCAACCAAAATTGAATTCGGATTTGAGTTTTTTGACCCAAGCCTAACCCAAGTATTAAAAACTCTTGCTCAAACCTTAATTTTATCGAGTTGGGTTCGAATTAAAATCGAATTGCCGAATCCAAATTGCACCCCTACTATGGGCAACTTGTTGGAAGGGGGCAGGGAGAATCATGGGCATCATCACGTGTCGCAATAGACTCCCATGCTTTTTGTGAAAGGGATGCAATTTGGATTGCCTAACCCGAGCCCAACTTAAAAAAATTAGGGTTTGAGTTTATATTTTTAAAATTTGAGTTGGACCTAGGCCAAAAAACTCCAACTTAAATTGAATTTGGACAA